GGGGGGAACCATATGGTTTTCCCCCCGACGAGCTCAGCCACGGCCCCAATATCAGCAACATCGCACGTCACTTCCGGTGATGTGCTGCCGGCGCGCGCGCGCATTATGGATCAACTCCCGGACTGCGGAGAGGCTCCCCCTCCGTGAGGGGTGAGTACAGTTGGCAACCCTACTACCTGGCATTACATTTTATGACACACATGGCCCGGTCCAACAAGGACTCCTTTATGTCAAATCCGGCCCTCAGAACAAATGAGTTCGACATCCCATATCTAAGGATTTTCAGTGCAATCCTATGTTCCTGGGAATAAGTTCCATTGAATTGAACTGACTACGATTCTGAGGAGACCTGCTTAAGATTGCTTTCTAATGCTGAAGCCAATGGGCTTACAAGGGTGGAAATGTGTTTAGGACTTCACTGAAAATCATATACAGTCCAATAAGCCATGATTACTTACCTCCTGTTAAATCATATCTGAACAAGCCTAGAACCCACTGAGTAAGAATGCAGGGTGTAAAGAGATAGTGACTATGATCATCTACAGTGAACTTGGCTCGAACCTAGAAACACAGATCATATCAATATTACATATATTCATTTTTTTTAGTCAGGTGGTTTTTCCAGGAATACACTAGTTGTTTTCTAAATTTTCCTACAAAATTGGTATATACACATACAAACTTATATGCATTATTATTTCATTGCTGAATAGTCAAATTAGCATATAATCTTGCTTCCAGATGCAAAACATTTAGTACAGCATCATTTCTCTAAAAAGGTACTGGTGCAAACAAACATTAACAGTCATAAATGCAGTTACATGGAGGGCACAGAGTGTGTCTGAATAACAAAAAAAATGGCTATTAAGGCTTGGGTGCAAGGTACTCTGGTTGCACATGTGTAAATGGTTTGCAAAGCATGCTGGAGATAGAATAAATGAAAACTATAAATGGAATAGATTCATTTGTGCCACTGAGGATTTCACAGGGCACATTTCACTTAACAACCCCAAGTATTTTACCTGAAAATACTACTTGGTTTCTCTTTAAAAGGAACATCAACCACCTGAAGAATTTTGAATTGATCTAGAGTACAATCCTAGGCAGAGTTAAACCAAGCCTAAGCATCAAATGGAGTAAATATGCAAAGGGTTGCACTGTAAATCATGTCTTTTAACAAGGACTGTTATTTGATTAAAGCAATCTTAGTTGATTCATTTTATGAATTTTAACTAGGACAGTCAGAGAAAGGAGTTTGCCCACCACCTGTAGATCTGTACCTGCTTACATTAAAAATAGTTGCAATAAAAAAACCTGGCCTAATTAATTCCATTTTAATAGGTCAGATTAATTCCATTCAATTAAGTTCCAGTAAATCAATTATATTTTAATTGATCAAAAATTATCTATCTGAATAACAGATTCTCTTTCTGTAAGCTGCTTCAGGTATATTTTTATGGAGAATGAGGCTGTGATCACACACACTGAATAATCCACTTTCAATGCACTTTCCAACAGGATTTTACTCATGGAAACTGGCAAAATCCAGTTGGAAAGTGCATTGAAAGTGGTGTGATCACAGCCTGAGACTAATAAATGATCCAAACAGCTACATAAACGTCACAGCTCTATTTTAATTAATAAATTCATTTCTTAAAGATGAATAAATATACCCATTATGAAAACATTAACTTGGGTGCCTTGTTGATGGAAATGGAAGGTATTGACAGATATCCCAGATATTTTCCAGTTCAACAAAAATGAGCACATGTTGTTAAAAGGAAATGTCACCTGTAGTATTTTCCTTTCTATTCTTTACTATAGTGAAAAACAAATACCAAACAGCCATCCAACTAAATAACTGGACTTGTCAACTCACAACACTTCTGGACTAGAAAACGTTTTTCCATCGATTTAAAATTAGTCCCATGGGTTCTCTGAATAAATTTTTAAATAATTAAACTGTTAGAGCCTCCATCCCCAAATTTAATACTATCTTAGTTTAATATAGAACACAGTTCTGCATCACTTTTCAAAACACATCCATAGGGGCCAAAGAGTAGCCCTGTTCTTTCTCATCTACCGTGTTGTTACCAACTGTGGCTAGCCAGATGTTTCCAGGAAGCGAAGCGAGGGCATGAAGGTGCTCCAACCTCCTGATTTTATTGGCTGCCCTTTTTCATACCCCACTGCTGCAGATAGCAAGGTGTTTTTGAATGTTTGCAAAGTAGGAGTTTCAGGTACAGAAGTGAACATGCTTTTCTCTTCCTTCCCTCAGCTGTAACAAAGTGGGTCAGATGACTGCACCACCGGGATGGGGGACATCAGTCCTGTGGTAAATGTATCTCATTTCCTTAGAAACCAAATTAAGCAACTTTTACCTGCTCATATACTTGGACCATTGATCCCGCCAACTGATATATTTTTGCTAACGATCCCCAAGCAGGATGATTCTTTAAGTTCTTGTGCAGAACAGGTTCTAAGTAGGCACTATAAATGGTCTGCAGTTGATCTCTCTCTGGATAACTAGAAAACACATGACAAAGTATATAGCATTGGTCAGCATCATTTATTTATAGCTACAACAATCACTGTCTAAGCCAAATACATCAAAACGGAAATGAAGTCCTGTTTCTTTGAAACCTTCCATTGTAAAGATTTTACAAATTTTGTGACAAATGGCCTTCATCCCTTGATTCCAGTAACAAAAGAATATTTGTTATAATATGGGGTACAGTTGGAGGGTATATGATACAGTAATCTTGCTGCAGTTGAGAGTATAAAATGCCTAGGGAACCCTAAATACAGCACCTTCAGTTCCAAAATGGAAGAAAGGAAGGCTACAAGAGTAATAAAACTGAAAAGTATAAAGCTGCTGAGGCACCTTAAAGCTATGTACAGGTCCAACATTTGCATACCGTAGGATATAATAACGTACCTTAAAGATAATATCAAGGCATAATTTATTATTAGAAAAACAGGGAAAATAAGTGCTCATTGTAAGAAAAATAGATGTGATCCACACTGTCAAACACTGAGTTATATTTTAGGGTGGAATGTTATCATGAGCCTGTTTGCGGTAAGGGCGGGGTATACATTGAATTAATAAATAAAAATTAAAAAATCATGCATTATGACAATATTCTGGGGCTTAGACAGGGGCCTGGGAGAGGTAAAAGAGTTGAGGCTTGGTCAGCTACATGGCCCCCTACAGAAGACCTACTAGACAGTATAAAGGACAGGCCATAGTGCTCTCTGAGTTGCGCAGGCTCTGAAATTCCTGAAGAGCTGCTAACTTCCTTCCTATGAAATATCGTCTGGGAAATACGGTAGGTATATAAAAGGGTCAACCAAATAGGTGCATTGCAATAAAAATCCATGAGGAAAATGAAACATTAATAAGCACTGTTTACATTACTCTTAGTGGGAGTTAGTAAAAGTCTGTGGAGAGGAGACCACATTAATTTAAGAGTTCTGTAACCCTAAGATTCCAGGATTCCAGGAAGAGCAGCAACAACATCCTACCCTTGCGCAACAGAAGCCTCTTCAAACTATACCTTCATATGCCAAAAAATTAAACAATGTTTGCCTTTCTATTGTCAACGTTGCAAAATAATGTGATTACATTCTTCTGTATCAGAAGCAAAGAAACAGTAGAAACAGAAACAAAGAAACCCTTGAAAGCTTGTCCTTAATGTGCCCAAAAATGTAAAAGTTAAAGAGAGAAAACAAACCTCTGCTTTTCAACAAAGGGCTAGTTTCAATTATTTCTGTTTGTTTGTTTCTATGTCGCTGCAACACATGGGTGTTCCTTTGCTGTGATCCCTAAATTTCAGAGCCATCAGCATGCATGTCTGTCAGACCTTTCATGGTGTCTGGACTCCATGAATACCAGGGAAAATGTTAATGATGGGGGGCTCCAAACATCACCCTCTCGTCCACTAATGACTATATTGAAGCACAATATGTGGGAGATCCAACGAGCAACCCAAAGTGCTGAAGACCAAGGCCTGAATGCAAAATCTGATGGCACTGACTTGAGTCTCAGTGAAAAAGGGGGAGTACTAAAAAAAATTAAAAACAAAACAGAATTTCATAATCATCCCTAGTTATATTATTACCACTCTTCTTTCCCCCCTTCAGTGATATGTGCTACAAGAATAAAAAGAATTCATAATTGCAACGTCTACCTAAGTCCTTGAGAAATTCACACAAATGATTCAAGCAGACACTTACTCAATTGCACAAAGACGAACAATAGACGTAAATCTGGAAGTGAGTTTATGTCTTCCCAGAGTTCCTCCAGCAGACATGGAGGCCACAATTTGGATGTTTTCTAACCCAACCCATTCAAGATTTTCATCATAAAATCCCTGATATGTCAGCACCTTGGGGATAATAATAAAGGTACACACTCACAAGAAAGCAATGATAAAAAGGTCAGTATCTGCTAACCCCATAATTATGATTCTATACGGTATATAATGAAGGCCAAATTAATCTATGAAGTTTCATTTTCTACAAAACAGATATTCTCCAAAGGCAAATCCTACATTCTGCAAACATTATCTCATTTTCAATTCATTAAAGTCTATGGGATGAGAAGGGTCTAAGTGTTGAAACCAGCACAATGGGCTAATTCCGCATAAGAATGCTCTGCACTTCTGGCTGCAGAAGCTGCCTCCTCCGGAATTTTGAAATAATGAGAAAAAACAACTATGAAAGAACACCACCAAATCTAAATAAACTTTTATACAAAAATTTATAATTTTCTAGTATGTTATAATTTTGTCTCAGTCTTTTGATACATTATTTCAAAAGTTGTATCAGTGTTATTAATATCAAAGTCTTATTAATGTTTTGTATACAATAATAATATTGTCACAATGTACAGTTGCTATTATAGTGTCAACAATTGGAACAAACTTCTGTACCATCATAAATTGTGGTCACAAGATAATACAATATAATTAGTCCATACATGACTTTCAGCAAGGTAATAATTCACAGACAGAATCCATGAAAAAGTTCACAAGCTTCCAGTTTAGGGTTGCCATCCCCCTGATGGGGGCAGAGGTTCTCCAGATTTTTTGGGGGGGGCAATCTGCCACCGGCCAGCTGGGAGAGCCCTACGCTCAAAGAGCCCCACCATGCCCAACATGCCCAGTGCAATGACATCACCCGGGTGACGGGGCTTGTTGGTCTTTGCTTGTTTTGTATAATCTTGTTCATCAGCAAATTTTGTTCTAAAACTAGTGTATGATGTGGTGCACAGAATGTCGACGTACAGTCAGATATATGGATGAGAGTTAGCCTGAGCTACTGATCCATGACTTGAGACTGTAAGGCAGGAACAACCAGTCATAGAAATACCTAAACAGTCCCACAATGAGCCTTTCACCAACAGGTATACACAGAGTTTGTGAGAATATGGTAGGCAGCAAAATTACATAATCAAACTGATACCGCTAAGGGATGGTTGTAAGAAGCCCTGTGTTTTCCACAAGTTGGAAAACTTTCTTTTGAGTATTGTCATAGGAAGCTGCAACTAACAACTGATCTGTACAACTGCACTATGTTATTGTCAAGGGAAGTGCTTTTTAAAAATATAAAGAAAATATGAAGATTTTTATACATCTTAAATTCTGCACCAAATTTGCAGAAAGCATTTTAGAAAGTAACTGGTCTTAAATTCAAATCCAAATTCTGCTCACCTGCTGCAGGAAAGCCACAAGTGTGCTGGTTCCCCATTTATCAGGTTTGGGCAAGTTGATATCCTTAAGGTATAAAACGAGCCTTTCGCAATCTTTTGGCCTGTACACTCGCCCAGTATTGGTGCTGATGATCAAACATGTCTGGCTTAGTTTTTGCAGAAGATGCCGAGAGCTAGTCTGAGCACTGCAGTGAACTGTAGCGATCTGAGTAGAACGCAGCTGAGAAAAAGCATAGCGAAGCAACATTCTAAAAAACAAAAACAAAAGTTTATGAGAAATACAAATACAGCACTTTACAGAAACCTATTATTCTAAGTTCTGGCATGATAAGATCACAACAAAACAAGTCAAAAGTCTTCAGCACGTAGAACTAAAATGCAGCTACTTCGCTAAACTTCAAAAATAACACAGAAACAAGAGTATATTTCCTTCACTTTTTTGTTGGAGCAAGAACTTACAGTAAATAACGGGTTTAACTACTAAAGGGCCAACTATGATTCCAAATCAACTTGCTTCTCATTAATACATTTAGAAGATATTTTACTGAATCCTTGTATGGATTTGTTCTTGCATTGTATTTCTTTTGGGAAACTCCCAGTCCAATTCTAAGAATACCATCCTGAGAGCAACTCCCACTGAGTAGACCTCAGTAGGATTCTGATTAGATGTGCTTAAGACTTCTTCTCATCTGTCTCATCATTTTCTATATCCTCTCCTTCCCCTGAACCCACACCTTAGTGGGGGGGGGGGGTTTCCTGTCAAGTTGCACACAAAGTATGCCATCCCCACAGGGTTTCCAAAACAAGAGACAGAGGCGGTTTGCCATTGCTTACCTCTGTGTAGCAACCCTGGACTTCCTTGGTGGTCTCCCGTCCCAAATACTAACCAGGGCTGACTCTGCGTAGCTTTCAAGACCTGATAAGGTTGGGCTAGCTTGGCCTATCCAGATAAGGGCACTGCTTGGATAGCAAAAGACAAAACTGGAAGCTACTTAGCATTGCCAGTGACCAAGGCTTCAAGCCAAGGTTGTGCCCTGACTGAATCTCTCAGCACAGCCTAGAGCCCATTATCTAAAGCACAAGCTCTAACCATGTGGGAGCAACTTCAGGTCTGCTTTGCCCTCTGGCCCCAATTAAAACACTGTCACTCTAAGCAAACGTTTGCCTCTCTCCTTCAGAGCCCAATGTTGAGTGTCCTGTTATCGAACTTGGATCTATTATGTTCCCTTCTGTTTCAGAGGGCTCTCAATGCTTTCCCAGTTTCTGGTACTCCAGCAGACTTTCAAGAAAACCCAGACCTTGCTTGGTAAATCTTATTCATGATATCTATAGTCTATGGCAGTACAAGATCCCTAGATGTTCTCCTTCTTAACTAGATGGAACTAGACTGAAAGTGTATGGGTTTTTTTAGTCATACAATCAGCTTCATCATCACTTTTAGCATTAGTAGTACTGTTAGTATCATTGTCAATACAAAAGTAAAAATCCTTACCCTTTCCCGCATCCTTCAGGGCCAACAAGAAGAAAGGGCTGTTTACTATCAAACCCTAGCCAAGGTTTAAAGTAATCTAAACCTCGTTGCATATCAGGCGTTTGAATGACTGGAAGAGTCTGAATATTACTGAAGTCGTCAGCAGTCAAGTTTTCAGGCTTTTTCAGCTGGTATGTCATTAGGCGCTCAGTTTCTGAATCATAAAAAGTATCCAGTGCTTTGCTGGGATTCGGAGGAGACTCTCGTGCCCAGTTGAAAACCTAAAAATACACGTTTTTAAAATATAAAATGAAACCATTTTTAAAAACACAATTCTAAAATAGTAAAAAAACCCTCATCATTATAAAATACACAGTAGATATACAAGTTAGGTTGCAGACTAACAACGTTCTTCCTCCACACACCAGCCAAATTTTCTCCCAACTACTGCTCCCTTCCTTTAACATTTCCAATGGGCCTCCATTTTCTACCTCATGAAAAACAAAACCCTGAACTGTATATTCACACTGACTTAACAGCATGGCTTCACTGGTGCTAGTGACCTTTTCTGCCCTTCAGTGTATTGTTCTCATCTTGTCTTTGTTTTGTCCTCTTCAGTTTATGTATTTCCATGTTGATCTTTCAGCACGCCTAACCATGAATTAAATTTCCCATTGATTTCTTGGATCTTGTGGAATAGATCTCTTGATCTTCCTTTTTTTGTTGTTCTCTTATATTGCATTACACTGGTAAATAGTTCTCTTTGTCTCTATGTCAGAGTTGCTGGAATGCTGCATTTAGGCTTTTGATTCTGTTTCTGTCATTTCTTTTACTTTTGGTTCTCATCTGTCTTTAGCAATTTTAAAAGTTTCATCGGTCATCCATCGACGCTTTTCTTTTCTTTTGACTATAGGAATAGTCTTTGTGGCATTCTTCCTTGATAATATCTCTGGTTTCAACTCACAGTTCTTCTAGTTCACACTCCTGAACTTAGTAATGCAAACCTGCTATTGACATGGCTTCTAAACTCTTCAGGAATGTTGCTTAGCTTGTAATTTGGCACTATGACTGCTTTTGGTGGTGTTCTTCAGCTTTGCAGGTTATGAAAATATAAAAACATGCTTTTTTTGGTACTCTTGCAGTGCCGTCCTAAGAACACTTTTTCTGGAGTAAGCCCCAATGAATAGACTTCAGTAGGATTCTGAGTAGATCTGCTAGGATTGCTTTCTTAAGTGCACAAATCCAGCAATAGCTTCAGGAATGCAGAAGGAATAACGTTGCCAGTCTCCAGATGGGGCCTGGAGATCTCCTGGAATTACAATTAATCTTCAGACTACAGAGTCAATGGCTCTGGAGAAATTGACTGTTTTTAAGGAGTGGACTATATGACATTTTACTCTGCTGCGGTCCCTCCCCAACCCCACCATCCCCAGGCTCCACCCCCAAATCTTCAGGTATTTCCCAACATTGGAGCTGGCAATCCTAGGAAGAAGCCTTGTATAAACGATTTTCTGTGTGCCTTAATCTGCTAAAAATTCTGCTGCGATTTGGCACAAAGAACAGATCAAGAGACCCCCAATGTGTCAAGAGAAAACTGTGCATTCCTACTCATCTCTTGATATAAAGTGTGGTGTAGTGTTTAGAGTGGTATCCTAGGATCTGGCAGACACAGGTCTGAATCCCTGCTCTGCTATGGTAACTTGTTGGGTGACCTTGGGCCAGTGAGACACATCTACCCTAACCGACCATGCAGGGTTGTTGTGAGGATAAAGTGGAGGAGAGGAGACATATATAAACCACTTTAGGTTCCCATTGGTAAAGGCACAAAACAAATGCAGTAAATATAGAAAATAAATACAAATCACGTGATGCAGATGGTAATCTATATTATTATATATCATCTCAAAAAGGCATTGTGCAGTTCCCCATCATTGTCCCAGGCATTATTAGTAATGCTCAAAGCTTTGTTATGCACAATGATTATATCTGAATATGACCGTTCAGATACCATTGTATCTTTGACAGGTGCATGTCAGTATAATAGTAACATATTTCTTCAAATAGCTAACATATTTCTTTGGATGTATTTGGATATTTTTGTAATCTGTTGCTATTATTACTTTATTAAGTAAACTAGCAGTAAAGCCCGTTGTGAAAGCAATACAACGAGATCTAGAAAGAGGCTCTGGGGCAGTGCTCTGCCTTTGGGCAAACAGTGTCAATTTGCTGTGGTGACCTCAGCAGGGTATAATGACAGAGTCCACTGTTTTCTCCACAGGAACTGATCTCTGCTACCTGAAGAGCAGTTGTAATTGTGAGTGATCTGTAGCCCTCACCTGGAGATTGGCAACAATGGTGCCCTATGTGAGACTGACTGGTTTGGAGGGTGGAGTCTATGGCATTCTACCTGTCTGAGGTCCCACCCCTCCTCAAACCTCACCCTCTTCAGGCTCCATCCCTCAAGTCTCCAGGAATTTCCCATCTGGAGTTGGCAACCCTATCAGGACTGGCCCCAATGTGTTTTCTCCCAAAGGCCAAAGTAGGTGACAGGACCAAGCTTAGTTGCCTACCAACAGGCACTGAGGGGAATGTAGGGTTGCCAGCTCTAAGGAGGGAAATACCTGGAGGTTTGGGGGGTGGATTCTGTAGAGGGCCGGCCGACGGAGGCCTCGGCCTTCTGTCGCCCGCCTTGCCCCCCCAATCTCGGCCCGGGCGACCGCGGCTCCCGCCAGCGTCACCTGTAGATTGGCAACAATGGTTCCCCATGAGGGACTGACTGGTTTGGAGGGTGTATCTATGGCATTGTACCTGTCTGAGGTCCCACCCCTCCTCAAACCTCACCC